GAAACTAGATCGTCGATCCCGCACCATCGGATGGTGGTGAGTCTTCTCTTCTCTTTCTTACAATCTTATCTTTATATTCTCAAGCATAATGCATACTTATTTCAATGGCATTCAGTTTTAAGATCTTGGTTTTATTGTTATATTAATTTTAATCCTTAAAGTTCATGGTATTGTAATAAGACCATTTGTAAATGATCTTTTACCAAAACAAACATATATATATATATATATATATATAATTCCCAGGTACAAGACTACATAGATCTTTCTTTCAATTTTTTGAGTTTTTTTTATATTTTCTAACCCAGTTGGGACCTACTTGGTTAGGGCCAATTACTTGGACGGGTTCCTAGTTACTCAAACTTAGCGCATGGTCAAGTTCCAAAGCTGGTTCGTGCAATCGAACACTGGTCTATATTTAAAAATTATATTCCTATATGCAGGGGAAGCCTAGCCTTGGGTCGACAGGTTACACGAGTGGACAGATCAATGACCATCGGTGCGTGGGCTGAACGGGCGCCAAGTTTGGATTCAAATTAAAACCATGCCATGCATGTGCGACCCATTATGTGGTTGAAACTGAACTTCACCCTTAGCAACTTGGCTAACATTTCTCCCACATTTTTTTTTTTAATTTCAAGTTACCCATAGAAAAACACACTTGAGTTGGAATAATTTCAAATGGGCAAAATTTTAACTACTTCATTACTAATGGGTATTTTTATAGAGAAATTTCAAATACTTCATTACTAATGGGTATTTTTAAAAAGTTCATAAATACTTCATTACGAATGGGTATTTTTAAAAAGTTTATATAAGGTTGCAACCTCATATATAGTACTACGGATGCACCTCAAAAATCCATCGAAAAAGGTAGTTTTAATGTTGAAAACCCTTTGATTGATCATCTTGACATCGAGATGTATGGCCATGAAAAATAAAAAAATTTTAAGCCTAAAAAATAGTGCATTTTACAACATATTATCTACACCGTCTATTTTAAAGATTTTCATATGTTTATAGATCTACTTGATTTTAACCATTTTTTAAATTTAAAATTTTATAATTAGATATAAAAATAGATTTTGAGATAATCTTAAGAACATTTTATATCAAAATTATATACCCTGATAAAATTTGTAGGTGCATCTTACCTCTACATCTACGGATGCATCAGTATGCTAACTGCACCCTTTTATAAATTACCCAAATAAATTTCTTACCCATATTTTTCTTAATTCTTATAAACACATTCGTCCCATATTCAAAAAAATTACAATGCTTGTTGGTGAACTGCAAGTATCTTCCATTGGATCAGTCAGGAAACTCCCCCTAGACGTAGCCACTGACCATCCGCGCTAGTGCTACTGGGCAGCAAATAGCGTCATTTCATGTTATTTTAAACATACGTTCGTATATGCAGGGGGAAGTTCAGCTTTGGGTCATCGGATGGCCGCAGCAGGCAAGGCTTGTGAGCAGAATGGTGTGTGTGGGTTGGAGCCTCGCGACCTTGAGGTTGCACCAGTGGACAGTGGGCAGATCAATGACCAGGGTGCCTAGGCTTGGCGGGCTCCAGTCTGAAGTCAAATTAGAAGCACGCCATGCATTTTGGATCCAAGATGTGTGAGAACCTCAACTTGACCCTTAGCAACTGGGCTAAAAGCCAAGGTCGCACGGTTTGCTGAGTCAAAGAATTAGCCCCGTGAGTTTCTATTATAAAACAATTGTCTTTTTTATTCTTTCTTTTTGGAATTTTTCATCTATTATGAGTATTTAGTGGTTTATATACCAAAATTGCATTTAAGAAATTGGTATGCGGCAGCTCTTGATTGGTAAATCTAGATCAAGAACTGCTGGTCTGTACAAGGAGTCCTCCGAGGTCTGTTCGACTTTGGGAAAGTTGTCCCTCAAACCCCGTTTTCTTATTTTTCTTCCTATCTTTTGGTTGCTTTTCTAATATTATTTGTTATTACTTAAAGTTTTATAACCCTAAAATTCAATTTTTTTTTTTTTCAGATTTTATTAAGTCTTCGGTTCGCCAATCCACATCGAAATTGGTGAGTGGGCGATCCATCCCACTCCGTAATTGAAAACACCCGTTTGACCTGTGATAGTAGTCTTAGGAAATAGTTTCAGCCAAATGCGCTCAATCTTCGGCCAAAAGCTAATACTTCTTGCTTCCAATACTTGGCCCAGATCGGGATGAGAACCCTTCAAGCGAGAAGAACAAAAACGTAATCAAAATGTATCCTAACTGTACAACTACTACACCTTTTTCTCGAGAATAATATCGAACTCCACCCTTCGCCAAGTATTGGAGTTCTGTGCATTTTTAACAAGTACTTGACTTTTATGCAGCCACACCAGCATACGTAGAAATGCGGGTTTCTAAATAGATCTATTTTTTAGATGGATTTTAAGATTTAATTTTTAAGGATATTTAATCTCTAACGTAGAGATCATGAATATGGAAAAATAAATAAATTTAAAAATTTAAAAATAATAATTCTAATAAAAAAACATTTGGACCGCTAGTTTTTATTGTTTTTAGAGAGAACACTTACTTGAATAAGATGGATGCTTTGCACTTTCTGGACCACATATATAGAAATGCGTTTCCAGCCAGCATAAAAGAGTTTTTCTTTTAACAAAAACCAAAGATGATATCAGAAATGAAAGGCAATTGGAGCTCACTAGAGCGACCGGTTGTGTTTCAGTTACTGTACTTTTTTTTTTTTTATTATTCCATTATTCTACCTTGAGAGAGAAATAGTAGCATTTCACTAAAACACGAAATTGCAAGTTGGTTCGTCCACTCACTGTATTAATCTGCATTGGCCGGCTCAGTGCTCTAGATTGGCTCGTCCTTCGAACACTGGAAAAAAAAGTTGTTAAAATATAATGTAAAATGCTTATGAGAGAGACTCAGATTGCCCACCCATCTAATAGAACTATCTCACTATGTATGCCTTGAAGAGAGATAGAGGGACAAAGAGGAGCCTATGAGTAAGCCGATTTGTATTGTACATATGTGGGCTCTCTTTCAAATCTATTTGAATAGTAATATAGGTAGAATTTCGGCCATCAGATTTTCATCATGTGGTTCAGAATGTATATCGTCATATAAATTTTAATTTTTTTATATAAAGCAGCTGATTATGATGAAATTTTGAAGTATATACCTAACACTATTACACACCATATAAAATATTAACTTGAAATTCAAATCAATATTTTGTTTTGTTTAAAATATTTTTTACAAATTCAAATCACTTGAAATTCAAATCATTCGTAAAATATAAATCTAAGCCAT